TGTAAGGATTACAGCCTAGGAAGCCCTACAAGGCAGCTCTACTCTGTCCGTGTAAGGATTACAGCCTAGGAAGCCCTACAAGGGCTGTTGCTGTGCGTGGTCAAGTCAATTCCAACTCCCAGCACCCTACAGGACAGAGCAGACCTGCCCCATAGAGTGTCCAAGGAGCAGCCAGTGTGTTGGAACTGCTGACCTTTTTGGTTAGCAGCCAAGCTCTTACCCACTATGCCACCCAGGCTCTGGGCTGATACCATGTGACTAAATTCTGGCCAATGAGATTAAGCAGAAGTATTATGTGGGAATTCTAGGAAGGCCTCTTAAAGGAAATTGAATTATCTGAGGAGTTTTTTTTTAATCATTTATCTCCTCTTACTTTCCAAACACAACGGCTAGAGCACCGACTGCCATCTTGGATTTGACCTTGAGGATGGAAGTCATATGCTAACATGGTAGAGGCAGGAGGACAGATGAACCCTGGGTTCCTAATGATTATGGGGCTTCAGTATGGCCAGCCCTGTACCATCTATCTCCAGGATTCTCTACCTTGTTACAAAAAAAACAAAACAACCGTTGCCAGTGAGTCCAACTCATAGCAACCCTATAGGGCAGGGTAGAACTGCCCCATAGGGTTTCCAAGGCTATAAATCTTTAGGGAAGCAGGCTGCCACATTGTTCGCCCGAGAAGTGGCTAGTAGGTTCAAACCACGGACCTTTCAGTTAGCAGCCGAGTTCTTAACCACTGCACCACCAGGGCTCCTCCTACTTTGTTAAGCCACTCTTTATTTTGCAGCTGAACCTAATTCTAACTTATATACTGAAGGCGGACCTCTTGAAAGGCATATAGGATTAAAGAACAGGGGTCAGTAGGTAGGTTATTATGGGCAGAGGAGGCAATAAAATGCATGGAAAACTTTGTGAGAATTATTTCTTCTACAATATACTCTTTGTGCAAGGAGACCTAAGAAATTTGTGGGAAGCATTTCTCATCCAATTTCATTTTTCTTTCTGAAGAAGGACCACATGTAATAAACTACGGGGACTTATTAAAATAAAAATATCTCAAGCGATCAGTGAGGGCTGAGGATAATTTCAGAGCAGTAACTGACGATAATGAGGATAATAATGATAATAACAATAAATATACACAATTCTAGGATTCAGGGCAGGTTTTTGTTTTTGAAGCATGGTATGGTTGTAACAAAATATAATTAAGTGATTTCTCTTGTATGAAGAATCTCCCCAAACATCAATTTAAAAGGCAGTTATTTTCTAGCATCTCTCCCTACTTTTGAAGAAAACGTAAAAGAAGAAATGGCTCTGTCTTGTTCTTAAATGTCATCTCTTCTGCAAATTCAAGTGGGGATTAATGCTGGCCTCAGCTGCCTGGCAGATCATGGGATGTTTTTTACTCACTGTGGCATTTTCAGACAGAAACCACTCGGGGATGGCAATGTAGTGATTGGGAACTCTCCTTGGGACATTCTGCCGGTCCTCTGATTCCCAGAGCAACGTGTTTAAGTCTGGGAAGTTATTGTTGATGTCGATGCCCTCGTGGGTCCAGCGCCCCAGGGACCAGCCTCCCAGCTCCGAGCCCTAGGAGACAATCAGAACGTGAGACGCCTACATCTTGCAGGCAGTCCTGACACTAACACTCGAGACGCACCCACAACATCTCCAACTGGGTGGCACAATGGTTAAGTGATTAGCTGCTAACCAAAAGGTTGGCGGTTGGAGCCTACTAGCTGCTCTATGCAAGAAAGTCCTAGTGATCTGCTTCCATAAAGATTTCCAGCCAAGAAAACCCTATGGAACAGTTCAGCTCTACCACATGGGGTCACCATGTGTTGGAATCAACTCAACAGTACCCAACAACAACCATAAGCCTCTGGAAGTCGTTTGACCCAGAGATAGCCTCCAAAGGAGAATCTTGAAAAGTCTTCCGTTAGTATATTAATATTTGGTGGGTGATGCATAAAACAGCCCAACATCTCCAAAGAGGGAACACAGAAAACCACTCCTACCACATGGAAGTGCTGAAAAAAATATTCGGTCCCTTCTGCCACCTCTTCCTACTCCCCTCTACTACAGTGGTCAGCTGAACCTCTGAGTCGTAGTGAATCTAAGACTCCATCACAGCAAAATCAACAACCACCATATTAGTGCTTTCTCCCTGCCCTGCCCCCGATCCTGGCTCACTAGTTAGTATTGCAAGTCCCTAGTCAACTATTTGCACCAATAAACGCAAGTAAAATTCTGCACTGGAAGGTTTGTATTTGCTAGGTATTGTTGTTTTAAATATATTTTTCCATTTTATTCCCGGATCTTATGATACATAATTATAAATCTAAATCTTAACATAATACTAGCTATATTCTATACATAATGGAGACAGATTAGAACACGAAGCATAAACAATATATCAGAATAGTCAAAACAACTATCCTCTTGAAAGGCATATAGGATTAAAGAACAGGGGTCAGTAGGTAGGTTATTATGGGCAGAGGAGGCAATAAAATGCCTCTGAATAAGTGCTCAGTAAATGTTAAGTGTTATTATTATTTCATTATATGATTAACAGATATTGTACAGCTAGAACACTCCTTAGAAGGGAGGATGGCAAGCCTTGGTCTTGCTTACTTTGGGCACATCTCATTAAGAAGGACCAATTACTAGAACAGGGCATCACGTTTGGTAAAGCAGAAGGTCAGCGATAATGAGGGAGACCCTCACTGAGCTGGACTGACACAAAAGCTCCAACAATGGGCTTAAACATGCCAACAACTGTGAAGATGGCACAGGACCGGGTAACGTTTCCCTCTATTATACAGACATAAGGTCGCCATGAGTCGGAGCCGACTCAGCAACAACAACATTCACGTTCACTTTCTGCTGTCTGTCAGCACGTCTACCGCTCAAGGTCACCTTCGTTCTCAATTCCTGCTTGGAGAACATAGGTTTGGGAGTGACTGAATGGGAAATAGCTGGAACAGGGAATGCTTGAAAAGAGGGCTGAGATAAATTTTAAGAGAGCCCCCTCTATCTTGAGCCATTAATGGTCAGGAAGTCCTTGTGGGTCTTTCCTGTGTCTGGAGAGAGACACTTAAAAAGGAAGCTTATCATATGGAATGTCCCACGCACTCATGGTTCTGGAATGGGCCCAGCTGCCAGCGGGGGTGAGGGAGCCTGTGCCATTACCCCTTCGTAGGCCTTCTCGTAGCCGTCGGGGTTGAGGGAGGGGAGGATGTGAATGCGGGTCTCCTCTACCAGGTGGACGATGCGCTCGTTCCGGGCCAAGTACTCCTGGCACAGAAACTGCATCAGCAGAAGCATCAGCTCGCGGCCCAGCACCTCGTTGCCGTGAGCCCCAGCGATGTAGTGGAACTCGGGCTCACCTGCACTCAGAGAGGAAGAAGACAGCTCACACTGGGTGCTCACAGCAAAACAACAGCTCCTATCACATTGTGCTAGGATACATCTCCGAATTATATAAACGTACAATTCTAGCCCCATCTGTTCTTCAAATAAACCTCCCAGACTATGTCAGCATCATTCCTTTTTATTCCCAAATAGGTATGTAAGAAAATGTGTAGATGACACCCGCCACAGGGTAATAATGTTTACTCTTATTTAGCAAGAACAGATGAAATAGCGCAGCGCTTACAGTCAAAAACGTACAAGTTAAGCACAAGCCTTAGCAATTATCTTTGTTTGTTGGAGGGCAATTATTTTTCTTAAAAGTACTGCCTATTAAACGTCACAAGGACTCAAAGAACAATAAATATAAGCAGAAAATAGCCCATCAGGGCAAATCAGCAATGGCACAATTTTCTGAAGGGCTGTCCTTGAATATTTTCTCTTTCAAAGCTCAGCTTTTTAAACATTGGGATTTACCAGTGCTGGACATGAGCTAACACTTCTCCTGGGTTCACTGGCAAAGCCACTGCTTTGGAGCAAAGGTGATTTTACCAGCAGACAAAGCTCTTCCCCTTTAAGAGGAACTCCTGAGAGGGACTCCTGAGATAGTGATGGGTGCTAAAGTTGAATGAATCAGACAAATCTATGCCCTCGAATATCAGCGGATTTCTAAAGAGTTCCCGGATTTACCAAAGTTAAAAAACCAGAGCAGCCCCCTGTTCCTGCAGAAATACAGCTTTGGGAGGGATTGGATGAGAAGTGGCTAAAAACAGGAAATACTCAATTTAGAATTGACATTTTAAAAAATTAAAATTAAGGGGACCCCCCTCTACCTTGAGCTATTAATAATCAGGAAGTCCAGAATTTTCTCCTGGAATAGGACTCTATTCTAAGAGTCCCCAGCCACTTTTCTTTGCAGTATTGTGATTGGTCTCAAGGATGGAGCGCACAGAAGTAAATATGGTCCATTTGGAGAAAAGGAAGGTACTTCTAGATTAAACAATTCTATCACCCATGTCACGAGAAGACAGGTTCATAGAACCAAAATCTGCAGAACCCTGTCTACGTGAGCATCATCACGTGGACAGCTGACGCCCTACTGCGTGAATGTTCTCTTAGTGAAGAACGATCTCCTTGTCCTCTAAGACGGCACCCCACAGACGCATCCCAGAGGCGCACCCCTCACCGACTTCGTGCTCCCCCGGGTTGTCTGAGATCTCCACAGCATACAGCTTCAGGCCCTGGTGGCTTTTGCCAATGTTGTAAATTCTAGTGATGTTGGGGCACATTTCATTCACGACCTTCATCAACTGAAAAACAAGATGAATTAAAGACTCTAAGCAACAACAGCTACCAAGCAAAGGGACAGAGCTTCCGAGAAGACAACCCACCTCTGCTCCTCTCCCGCAGCCCCCCTCGGTGGGGACCCCCACCCTCCCGCCCATTCTACCTGCAATGCTCTCCTGTGCGCCCTTTCCCCCGGGTAACACCTACTTTTCCTTCCAGCATCCGCTCTATTGCCATCCGCCCTCCTCAGCTCTGGACTCCCAGTGCCCTGGGAGTCACCACCCCTGCAGGGTGACTGTCTGTTTTCTTATCACCCCTCACCCGCCTGCCACATCCTCCAGGGCACAGACGCAGCCTTTCATCTCTGAATCCCAGCCTAAATAAGTATTTATGACTCAGTATCAATTTTTTAATAGTTTTATTGTGATCAAATACATATAACAAAGCATTTGGCATTTTAACCATTTGTAAGTGTGCAATTCAGTGACATTAATGCATTCACCATGCTGTGCAACCATCAACGCTATTTCCAATAGTGTTCCACCATCCCAAACGAAAACTCGGTGCCCCTTAAACAATAACTCCTCCCCATCCCCGTAACCACTAATAAACGTTGGCCTCTTCTCTATGCATTTGCCTACTCTAAATATTTCATATAAGCAGGATCATACAGTATTTGTCCGTTTCTGTCTGATTGACTTCACTTAGCACAAGTGAATCGCCCGTGTTGTAGTATGTAGCAGCACTTCGCTTCTCTTTCTGGCTGAACAATGCAGCACGTTCTGTTTATCCCTTCATCTGCTGACGGACCTCTGGGTTGTTTCCACCTTGCGGCAGTTGCGAACAACGCTGGAATGAACATTGGGGTACGTGTGCTTGTTTGAGTCCCTGTTTCCAAGTCTTTCGGGTGTATACCCAGGATTAGCATCGCTGGCTCCTATGGTAATTCTGTGTTTAACTTTTTGAGGACCCGCAAAGCTGTTTCCTACAGCGGCTGCGTCATTTTACACTCCCACTAGCCACGCGTGAGGGTTCCAATTTCTCCACATCCTCACCAACACTTGTTGTTTTCCATTTTTTCGATCACAGCCATCCTACTAGTGCAAAAGGAGCCCTGGTAGTGCAACGGTTAAGTGCTCAGCTGCTAACCGAAAGGCATATTTGAACCTACCCCGTGGCTCCATGGGAGAAAGACCTGGCGATCTGCTTCCATAAAGACTACAGCCTAGAAAACTCGATGC